TGGGGGGGGGGGGAGGTAGTGTTGTTGTTATGTTTGGCTTTTTTTACCGTAAAACAATGAAGTGTTTATCAAAATTTAAAGGAAAATTAAGACAAGTTGGCAAAATACTGTGAATATGGATTAACATCTTCCACTCCACATCTGTGCAAGAAATATCCATTTTTAAAACTTCAAGAAGTAAAAACTAGAAAAATATGCACCTTCTGCCCTGTCTCCCAGCTATAATTAACCTCTTGATGCTGAAAAGGGTCGTTGTTAGTAATCCCACTTTTCTTTGAATCCCAGATTAGCTTTGAGTTCTGCATTGTTGTTTTAATAGGGTTAGAATTGCGCTTTGCTTTCCTGGCAAATTATCTCACGTGGAAATAATGACTGCTAGGTATTTTGTGATAATTTCCGTCCACCCTTGGTGTTTCCAGTGTACTATTATTTCAACCTGAGCAATAATGTAAGTGTAAATAGTTCCCAAAGTGTCCCATGCCCCCCATTCATTTTTTTCCCAAGAAACTTGGAGATACTTGTGTGTGTTAAATACCAGCATATACAAAAGTTACAAATGTGCCTCTAAGATATTCCTGCCAAAAAGCTTTATCCAAAAAGAACATTTTTTAGTGCAGGCATCACTGCTAGGAATATGTGGCCTCCTGTTCCTGATGGGATAAACCTGGTGCTTCCCCACTATATCACATCAGTTGACCACAGTTATCTTTGAAGGTTGCATAGGATGAGGTGGTGAAACACTTCACAGAGTTTTGTGTACTAGGCCAGGACTTTACATTTGGTATTGAACTGAGGCAGAGAAGAATGCAATCCTCAGAGCAGAGGTGGAATATCTATGCCAGTTTCTGTTTAATAAGACATTTGGCTTACTCCAGTTAGTAGCCTTCTTGTGGCAGTTGTGCTCAGCCTTAGGGGAAAATAAGCTGCAGGAAGCAAAGGTCATCATGAATCTCTGTGGCTGATCCTTGTCTGAGAGAGAATGACACTGTCTCCTGGTCAGAGAGGGGAAAATATCCACCACTGTGGCACTTTGCATGTCATAAAATAGTAATGAATGGAGGATGACTCTGAGGGTTCATATTACAAGAATGATTTATGGTCTGACAGTCTAAAATGATGGTGATATAAGAACACTGGCTTTTAGTTCCTTAGTGCATTTCCCCCCCTTCTGATTAAAATCATGTTTATTTTCCCTAAGTTGAAATCAAGCCTGCTACTTTTTAACCATCTGCTTACCCATTCCTCTGGGCATTGGCGATGGCAGAGGCTAAATCAGCAGAGAGAGAGCGATATAGTTGTCCGCAAGATGATGTCTGAAGTGGTTCACTATCTTCCTGAATTATCTCTTGTAGGATGAGAGAAAGCATTGAGCCTTGTGAAACTCCACATCACGTGTACCTGGATAATGATGACTAGATGTCTGTCATGCCTATCATGTCTCTCTTGGATGTGGCAGATAGGAATGATTTGGATCTAATCTACTGATGCCCAATTTACTCTGGCAGTTTTCTACATGTGTATTCAGCATGGTGTGGCTAGTAGTGCCAAAAAGTTTGTAAAGGGATCTTGCGCTATCAGCTGAGAAGAAGCATCCCCTGTCCATGGCCAGAAAAAGTTCTTTATGATAGTGTTGGGCAGTTCTAGGCTGTCTCCTAGACAGAGGGATCCAGGAGGTTAATGGATAATATATACTCCTGTTGAATTATCTCAGGAAAGCGAATCTTGGGTATACCATAACTGGGCCTAATTTAAGCTGCATTCATTGTTCTAAGAACATGATTGCATCCCTTGGTAGCTGGCTTGGTGTCTCTGGGGATGTATATAAAATATGGATGCGTAAATATATATCAAAATAAAAATGTAAAAATGTTCATGTCTTAACCAGTGCATATTACTCCTTCTTCTTCACTCTGTCCCTTCTATATAATTCTTGCAGTTCTTGTGAACACAGGTAGCGAATGGTATGTGGCAGCTGTATGTCTTTGTGACCACAATGGGGCATTTGGCCTCACAGATTTGGAAAAAAATATGGTATTTTGCTTTTTCCAGACTGAAAACTGCTTCCCAATAAGCATAAAGAGCAATGATCTTTATTTCCACTGTAGTGAAGTGAGTTGAATACAAATCTTTGAAACTGAAGCCTTTTTTTCTTCCTAAGGTCACTTGAATAGTCGGAATGATACCATCACAACTGTTTTCTTTTGTGTGTGAATTGGTTTCCTTGACAACAGGATGTCAAATCAACTTTTCAGCTTTAATCAAGTCAAAACAATATATCCCTTCTATTCCAAAAGGCCTCAAGTCATAGAGAATTATTTCAAGGAAGGTTTTGTAGATCGCAATACCATTTTTCTTTGCTCCGGTGTGCAGAACCAAAGGAGAAGTAATGCCATTCTTCCTTTATATAGAGAGACAATGCAAATAACCTCCAGTTGTGAATGTGCACTGTGAAAATTCCTGTCTGTTTTCATATAAGGAAGGGCCAGGATGGGGGGCATATGAGAAAACGAGCTCTGAGGTTCAGTACAAAAAAGAGATGCATCATTCTGGTTCCCCTGGGAAAAAACATGAATTCACATTGCCAACCTCAGTATTGAAATGCTTGTATCACCCTGTGAAGTGCCTGTTCATAATTCACTTATTCTGAAGTGCCTCCTGTGAGGATGCACATCATAATATCTGCAAATGCTTCATGCAAAAACCATGAAAACTATTCTATTCTGCCCCCCCCCCCGCCCCTCCCAACACACGTTAGGTGGCTTTTTTTAATCATTACCCTTCTTACCAAGGACACTTCCAGGAAAGTAGGATCTTAGTTTCTGTGGAATTTACCTTCTGCAAATTTTCTCAGGTAAACCTCCAGCTTCTCATAGTTACATACCACTGAAATGTGTCATATCAAATGAAAGGTATGACTTCTGGTGGGAGATAGGTGGCTGTAGCAGGTTAGAAAACAAAGACTCTGTGGCTAGAAAGGAATAAGGGGGAAGGGTGGGAATGTTGTACAGAATCAGAAAAGCTACTAGTAGTATATAGGCTATTGGCAGGTCTTTGGAGGCTGTGAGTTTATTTTTTTACTTATAAGCTGCATGGGCATTTGATTTTTTTTTGCAATTGCATCATCATTACACACACGGCACCATAAGTGCACATGGGTAACGAAGAGGAGAGGTATGCTAGAATAATTAATAGAGGTCTAGTCTGAAGAGCACTCCTGGAAAAGTGCAGATAAACAGTACAATATCCAAATAGGCAGGAGATGGTTACAACTAAAATGAATTTCTCCCCGTCTACCCCTTCCCCATCCCCCATCAGAATTCCTGTTATGTAGGAAATTCCAAAATTTCTATATTTCATTTTAGTATCAGAGGGGAAAAAAGAACTTCCCATGGAATGAAAGAGTCAGAGAGATTCTTGGAAAAATGACAGCTAAATGTATTTTAACTTTTAACTGTTTAACCCTTTTACCTTTTTCAAAACAAGATTAAAAAGGTTTATTTAGTTGTGTGGGACTCACATTATATTGGTCTGACAGCCTGTTGAGAAGCTGAGAGGCTGAAGGCCTCTGAATTAATTAGTAATGCCAAAGCCTGAGCGCCAAGCAAAAAGCCAGCAAAAATGAGATGTTCTGTAAAACATTTGGAGTTGATGAGTTAGTATTTTCAAGGAAAAACATTCTCATCAGAAAAGTTTGACAAGCTTTTCTTATGAAGTTATCCATTCTTTATAGAGCACGAGCAACAAACTTTACCTGTCCATAGTGATTCTGTGGATTGGCTCCAACATGAGCTTTCTGGTGTCACATACACATGCCTGTACATGTGCTCTAAGGGAAGGGGTGGGGGGGGTTAATTAGAGTCGCTCTTGGCTGTTTGAATTAAAACTCCACAGTATCTCGTGAATTCAGCATCCTGTGTTTCAAAAGGGCAGCGGGGGTGCTTTAACTAAAGCTCATTCGACAAACTTTAATTTAGTTAAAGCACGCCCCCCACCACTTGAAAAGTGGGATGCTGAATACACGAGATGCTGCAGCACACTAATTAGCATGCTCCGACAGACTTG